GTTAACCCTTATTACCATTGTAACAACTAAGGCGAAGTGCCCGTCGACCTGAGTGACATTGATTTGGCCACGCCCACATGATCACATGACCACTGAGCTCCGCCTACCCAGCTGTTCATTAGGGCAGAGAACTGGTTGGTAAATTATTTGAAATCCACCACTGGTTTGAAGGATATTTTTTGCCAGCAAGAGAAGAACAGACTTGTCATCCATCTATGCAGACAATGCAGAGAACTGAATTCTTAAAAGCTGATACCTGATTAGACTAAAGCTGCACTTTTCATGGATGAAAATGGATTTTAACTGATGCTGTTTTGAGTTAAACGTTCACTTGTTCCAGCTTTATGAAGCCATTTTGATGATATGAAATCGATGCCATAGCTTTCCCCCTCCAATTTTTAAATCATCTTATAATTTTTTCAGTATTACAAAAAGATTGATCACCTGACAGTGTGCATATGTATTTAAAAGTAAATTAATTGTTGAGTGGATACTATTGGGTGGAAGGCCAGCGAAATCATTTTCAAAATGCATAACAAAACCCTAGCGATAAGCTTTCATGATGGAGAAAAAATGGTTATCATTTTGAAATCCTTAAACCAAAGAATGTGACTGTTCTGTACATTTATTTGGCTGCTAGCTACTAAAATCTGATTTGATGAAACACAGGTACAAGTCCAGGAAAGAATGCTAAAGCTCTTTCTATTGTTTTGACAGAACTAAATGCTATGGAGCAGGCTGTATGGCTCCAGCCAGATAATTAGTTTATTCAGCAACATTTAGATTTGCTCTAAAATTACATTAAAATATTCAATAAATAGAAACTAGCCAAGAATGCTTATAACAGAAGGGAGATGTGGGCACAGTGAAATTATCTCAGAGACAGTGCCAAAGCTTTCTGCAGAAGCTTCCCATATGGCATGGAGAAATGTCATTTTATATTTAACTGTGCAGTGATACAAAGCTCTTGGAGGCTGTTTCAGAATGAAATTAACAGAAAAAGATCCTTTGAGGCTAGGAGAGAGTCAAGAGAAGGAGATGAACTTCTGTAGAGATCTGGCATCTTTCAGAGCCGATACAGTTTGAGGCTATAATTTCCAAGGTCTCTTGAGAGGATCATTGAAAGGGGGGTGGGAGGTTTGGAGGGTTGGGCGGGAGGGAGCGGAGTTTACTAAGTTGGAGGAGGGGTGTTGGACTTTAAGGTATTATGATTGTACATGT